CGTTTTATATGGTATACGTTAATACTCATAGTAGGGGCAAATAACTTGTCCCCTATTTTAGTGTTGATTCAATGGCACTGATTGACGTCATTTGTCGATTAATGTCGTGGAATACACTGCATAACTGGTTTCACTATTTGTTTCATTGATTTTTTCCTGTCTCTCATATGTTAAACAACTCATCCAAACATTACGTTCGGTTAGAATTAAGTACAAAATTAAATTATTATAGCATAAAAGTTATAGGTTTATAATTTTAATCAAATTAATCTCAAATTAATCATGCTCATTAAACTAACAGTGATTAAAAGCAACTAAATCAATACATTATATACATTAAAAACTGCAAAAACAATAACATTTCAAATAATAAGACAAAAACAAATAAAACAATACATCACGTAATATATGAACGGCCCTCAAGGCTGTGAATGTATTGAGAGTCACGTGACTTACAGTGTATTTCCCTTTCCTTTCTGTCCATCACTTCAAACACTAAACACACGTTTCTGTGAATCAATTGATTATCACATCAATCCATACCATCGATGGCTGTGGTAAGTGTCCCGAAGACGTTGCACACGTGTTGCCAATTGATCACTGAATGTGTGCTAATGTTTGAATTGTCTGTTTTTGGTGGTCTAGAAAGTGAAGAGTGCGGTCAAACCCGCCACCAAAGGCAAAGGTGGTAAGAGGAAGAAGTTGCAGCTGAAGTTCACGTTAGACTGTTCCCGACCCGTCGAGGACGGCATTATGAACGCCTCCGACTTCGTATGTCTTCAGCCAATTAACCATTTTATTGATTATACCATTTGTTATTACCATTTGCTCACACGAGACACATGTGTAGACAAACATTGATATGTTTTGCACAACAAATGTCTGATCTCTTGTTTTTTTCCCACCAATTGGTGTCCACTCTTTGGATCACTTGTCATATCTGATCCGATAGGAGACGTATCTGAAGGAGCGGATCAAAGTGAACGGCAAGACCCAGAACTTGGGCAATGCGGTGACTGTCGAGCGCACAAAGTCTAAGATTCAGGTGACGTCAGACATCCCGTTCTCGAAGAGATATCTCAAGTATTTGACCAAAAAATACCTGAAGAAGAATAATCTGCGCGATTGGCTGCGAGTGGTGTCCACCGCTAAAGACATCTATGAGTTGCGGTACTTCCAGATCAACAACGAAGAGGAGGACGACGAGGAAGACAATGAGTAGACATTCATTGATCACTTGTTTCTCCCGAAGAGATCTTCATATGTTTTGTATGATTTGGTGTTTAGTTTTTGAAATAAAATTTGTTTTTTGTTTCAAAATTTGAATTTTTGTGTCATTTTATTGAAATTTTTGATTTCATTTGTCTATACATGAAATCATTATTAAATAATAAATTAATAGTGTTTTTGTTAGCAGTTTATGACTGAGTTATTAAACTTATAATTAGATATAAAATGGTTTGATTTATAAATTGCTGTAATGTTTAAATAAATGTTATAATACATCAAACCTTGTTTAGGAATTGTAGTGTTTCTTATATGGAAGTTATAACTTATAAGCTATTAATTTGCCATATTTGTAATCTATTAATAGCATCGAGATTCATTTGATAGCAATAATAGTGTTTTAATAGCAAATCAATCATTAATGTTAGTATGCGTTTAGAAATTTGAATAATTTAATTGAAATTAAAATGTTATACAAAAATTTTGAGTCTTGTTAGTAGATATATAACATGTGAAGCAATAGAAATGTCATACAATGTCGGGTAATATGACGCTTACGCCCCGGAGGCCCGGTTCGGGTTCGGCCACTCTGTCCTCCCGCACAGGTTTGTAGACATTGTTTGTGCGGAACAGATCACAGTCACGTCCAATGAGGTACACCACCACCAGTAGGGAAGCTACCAACAGAGCGTAGCTAAAATAAACCACCGCCTCCGCTAAACTGAACGCTGTCATCGGTTCCCGTGGTTTAATTCGTATTGGATTTTAAGATCAATTTAGTCAGAGGAATCACTTGGAAGTGCTGTCAAAAACAATTAGGTTAAATTTACCATATTGTCCATTCACTATACCGGGTTATAACCATTTTTAATCAACAGTATTTTGGCTGCATTTAATTATAACAATTCAATTAACTTACTTTTGAATAACTTGTTATAACAATAAAACAAAACACAATGAAATGCGTTAAATCATTGCTTCAAAGAGAGTGATTGCCTTTTAGAGACAGCGCTTTCATTAGTTGCTAATGAGATGATACTGTTTTTGATGGAAGTGTTTGTCATTATGTAATATTGATATCAAATTTATACAACAATTTTTATACAAATGTATTGCAATTAATTGATATTTCTTGAATTGCTTACTAGTATTGGGAGTTTGTATATCAAATCAATACGATTAATAACTATTGTAATGTAAATATAGCACCAAGGTATATCCGGAACATCGTTAATGTGTTTTTGACGCCATAACAAGCTGTGTTATACAAAATTTGATCTGGGTTAAATTTCAGTAGATTTTGTTATAACACGGGTGCGTTGGTTGACGACAAAAAAGTACATATTTAACAATACATGTAAATTATAGCAATTGTTTGTACAGTACTGTATAAGACTTGTATTATAAGTATTATTCTGGACTCAAATTGCATACAGAAAAATAAAAGTTTCAATTTTCGATCAAATCAAAAGTTATGTTTAGTTTATTTTGTATGAAAATAATGTGATGTGAAATAAATGTGAATTTATTTATTTAAGAAATTAAATTCTTTATACTGTATGTAATTTTGTGATCAATTTTTGTTGTGTTTTGTTTAAAATGTATGGCATTTTCGCTGCTATTATTAAGAACTCGATGTTTAGTTAATTATAATTATATTTGAAACCTAATACAGTATTTGGCGACCAATGAAAAGCAACAAAAAACAATTAAAAGTAATCACATTTTAATGAAATTTCAATCTTCAATACAATTTCTATGATTTGTTATAAAACATAATGATTGACAGTAATAATGAAAAGCATTTTAATAATTATAAAATTTGGTTTATAAATGATTAAATGATTGGTTTGATTGGTTTAGACACGAATTGTGGTGATGTGTTGGGGCGGTTCGGGGCGACGACCGACCATCGGATACCGGATTGGGTCAGCGGTGGTCACGTCTTCGGGCGGATCGCTGCAGACATAGCAACACAGGACCAGAATTGTGATCATCAAACTCGTGGCTCCGGCGACCAAAAGTATGATTGAGATTAAAAAGTCTATTTCAATGTCCATCTCTTTAACCAAACAATTCTTCCTCCGCTTCTGTGGCCATTGAGTCATGAATTGTGTGACAATTATATGATTGAATGCAAAGTTAGTTAACAATAATTAGTGATTAAATCAATTATATTTACCGATTAATTGGTGTCAAACAAAGCGATCACTTTTAGACCCAAAAGTTTGGTTTGATTTTTTGTGTAATGAAAGCATTGATTGAATGCTTTTACAGTTTTATGTATTGAAAATTTTTTAATGAAAGTTTTATATCGTTCAGCATTTTTAGTATTTATTCAATTTATTATTTATTTATTAAGATATAATTGATTTATAGTTTAATAATTTTTGTAATTTAATAATATATTTTAAAATTGTCTTGTTTTATCATGATTATTAAACACTACTTTATTTTAATTAATCACTTCATTAATACCTATTATTACAATGCATTTTGAATTAAAATAGCATATATTTAATGGATTAAATCAATTGAAAACATATTTTTATATAATTTACTGTCAATTACTGTCAACAAAAACCTAAATTACAATTTTAAAATAATTTAGTTAATAAAACTCCATATTTGGCGACCAATCATAAGCAACAAAAACTTCAATAATTAAAAGTAATCACATTTTAATGAAATTTCAATATTCAATACAATTTAAATGATTTGAAAAGACAATTATTAGCATTAATAATGACAAGTATTTTCATAATTATAGAAAATTAAGTTTTTAAATGAAACAATTGAAGGGTTAAACCAATTTGGTTTAGACAGGGATTGCGGTGATGTGTTGGGGCGGTTCGGGTCTTTGATTGGGGATGAAATAACTCGGCGCAGAAGTGGTCACTCGACAGCACCGACCGGTGCACGCGTACCAACACATGATACTAATGAGCCGACCGATGATAATGAGGAGAGCCATCAATCCGGTGACCATCAGCACTACTGCAATCCAAATATCATATTCAATGGTCATATCACCCGATATAACACTTCCTCCGCTTCTGTTGCTATTCAGTCATCAATTGTGTGACAATTATATGAATTAATGCAAACATTATGACAATAATTAGTGATTAAATCAATTATATTTACCGATTAATTGGTGTCAAACAAAGCGATCACTTTTGGGTTCAAAAGTTTGACTTTCATTGAAACTTTCAATGCTTTAAGCATTGATTGAAGTGTTTTACAGTTTTTTTTCATTAAAAACCTTTTTAATGAAAACTTTTATATCGTTCATTATTTTCAGTATTTATTTAATTTACAGTTACTTTTTATATCATAATCAATAGTTTTTGTAATTAAATCATATAATTATTTGCATATTATATTAATTTTAATGTTTAATGATTGATATTAAACACTACTTTATTTTAAATAATCACTTCATTAACAAATGTCTATGTATTTTGAATCAAACACTTTGTCGTATATTTTATGGATTAAATCAATTGAAAACATATTTGATATAATTTACTACCAATAAATTTGAGAGAAACCTAAATTACAATTTAAATATAATTTAGTTAATAAAACTGTTTATTTGGCGGCAAATCATAAGCAACAAAAATTATAATAATTAAAAGTAATCACATTTTAATAAATTTTCAATATTCAATACAATTTAAATGACTTCAAAACAGAATTATTGGCATTAATAATCAAAAATATTTTCATAATTATACACAATTAAGTTTATAAACGATTAAATGAACAATTGATTGGTTTAGACCAGACTTGTGGTGATGTGTTGGTGCGGTTCGGGGCTATAATTGGCAAAGAGGGGCACATCACTTGGCCCAGAGGTGTGCAGTCGACAGCACTGACACTTTGGCCCAGCGCTGGTCACCCGACAGCACCGGCCGGTGAACACATACCAACACGTGATGATAATGACAACGAGAATACTGGTCGCACTTAAAGCCATGGCCAACGCTACAATCAGAATACCAATTTCATCCATCATCCGATCAAACACTTCTGGCCTCCGCTTCTGACACCAATCAATCAATTGTGTGACAATTATATGAATTAATATATAGTTTATGACAATAATTAGTGATTAAATCAATTATATTTACCGATTAATTGGTGTCAAACAAAGCGATCACTTTTAGACCCAAAAGTTTGGTTTGACTTTTTGTGCAATGAAAGCATTGATTGAATGCTTTTACAGTTTTTTGCATTCAAATATTGTTCATTATTTCCAGTATTTATTCAACTTTTAATATCTATTTTGTAATTTAATAAAATATATCAAATCATTTACATAATAAACTAATTATTAGTAATTATCGTTTGTCATTAAAAACTAATTTATTTTAATTAAACATTTCATTAATATCTATGTATTTTGAATCAAACATATTTTGTGTATATTTTATGATTAAAATCAATTAAAAGCATATTTTTTCATAAATTATTGTCAATTAAATCGACGAAAACAAATTACCGGTACATAGATTTATAATAAAATAAATCACTTTTAATTAATTAAATAATTATGTTATTGCTTAACAATAAAAGGCAATAATTGTACAATAAATTGATAAAAGTATATAAAATTAAAAAACAAATTACCGGTACATAGATTTATAATAAAATAAATCACTTTTAATTAATTAAATAATTATGTTATTGCTTAACAATAAAAGGCAATAATTGTACAATAAATTGATAAAAGTATATAAAATTAAAATAAACTTAAGAACTTATAAAACTTAAAACTTGTAAAATAAAGCATTAAAAAACTTGCAATTTTAAACTTAAACATCAATTTAAGACTCAATTCGTTTGCAAATTGTCTGTAAATTCCTATACGAAACGCTATCGCCATTCAAATCAATACTAATACTATTGTCCACTTCTTCGGCGTCCGAATCGGCGATCGTATGGCAATCATTGGTGCCTTCGATGGCGTTAAGTATCTCATCGATGAGCTGATCGTCGAGCACATCATCACTGAATGCCCTCTTTATCATTGCGTGAATGGATTGAATAGTCTTGTGATCGCTCTCCAGATCTGTGATCAACCCATTGATGGCCTCCACAGTCGGGTGCGCTTTATTCCAGTCCCGAACCAAATACACGGCGTCCACGACTGTCAGCGCCAGAGTGAAGGCAGCCATTCCTCCCTTCAGCGCCAATTTGCCGGTCGCCGGAACCGCTGACTTCACCACAGCTGCCGTCGTCGGCAGAGATAATAGTATTGATAACAAAAGGAATTAATAAAGTGAAAAATTGTTGACAATTATCTTCAAACAAACCATTAGTCTCTGTCGGCAACAAAGAGACGACACTTTTGCCCATCTTCTGTGAGGCGGAAGCGCTTTGTTCAGCGGTTTTGACACTTTTGGCCACTCGGAAGGCGCGGAACTCTTGGACGGCGTCCATCAGCTTCACGGCATTGTTGCCCATCTTATAGAAACCCACAGAACTCTTGTACATCAGTTCCACACCTCTGCCAACGCCGAGCCCATCGCCGGACACCTGATTGGCCCGATTCAGGCCAAACGCGTCGCGAAGCGAGACATCAAACTCAGCCAATTTGCGGCTCAAACGGACGGCACAGGCGTTACGGCTGTCGGCCATCGCCCGCAGGCGTTGATAGAAACCTCTGGAGCGGAAATAGTCGCCCACATCGGCGCCAATGGTGGTGACAGCGGCGGCGGCAGTGGTGGCCCCTCCGCCCACTGTCAACACTGTTGACAGTCCGCCCGTAAACGGAGCCAACGCTACGCCACCGACGAGTGCCAGCCCTCCGACGCCCGACACACCTGTGGCCACCGATTTGGCGATATTTGTACGCCTTTTGTGTCGATTGACTCGTGCGAGCAGTTCCTCACACGACTCCACGAGCGATGAGTTCTTGAGCCAGAATTCGTGGACACATTCGTTGAGCGCTTCCAACTCCTCATCCAATTGTCGCACGAATTGGTGGTCAGCGTTGCGCTCAGAGCCGCTCTTGTCGTCCATCGGTTCCGTCGGGTCGTCGTCTTCGATGGTAATGACGGGTATAGTGTCTGTGAGTGTCATGTCTTCAGCGTTGGATCCATTGGACGGCAAAGACTTAAAGTTTGGTTAAAATTAAGTGAAATGTAAATTAAAACTCAAAATAAAAACAGATTTGTCTGTCAGTTATGGAGTGTTGTTGTCATTGGTTTCCATAACAACCGCACAATACACTGACGTAAGATTATATTTTGTTACTTACTGTTAATAATTAAGTTTTTAAACTATATTTAATTGATTTTAATTAGTAGTTTAATAAATAACGTGGTTTTATTATGATTAGTTTTGTAATTAGTTATTGTTTAAAGTTAGTGTATTTATTATAATTTATTTATTAATAATTTCTTTATATTTTTATTAGAATTATTAGAATTAATTAGAAAACGCTTTACTGTTATTACTAATAACTTATTGTATATAAAGTTATGTATTTTTGTAATATAATAATTATAATGCTTCATAATATATCACTAAAATGTTTGCAATATAAAACTTACAAAAATATGTGGAAATATGAAAATAATTATAAAATAACACGAACTTTCTTATTAAATAATTGAGATAATTGGTATCGAACAGAGTTTCTAATAAAGAAATTGAACTGTATATATTAATAAAAAGTGAATTATATTTCAAACATAAAATTTTATACAAAATTCCCGATTCAATCCATTTTTAGGCGATGGCCTGAATCTGTTTGAATATTCAGTGCCGTAACTCTCGATTTGAGTACGGATTGAATATTCTTGTGATCGCTTTCCAAATCAGTGATCAACCCATTGATGGCCTCCACAGTCGGGTGCGCTTTATTCCAGTCCCGATACAACTCAAAGGCATCCCATGCAGTCCAGGCCAACCGGCCCACAGCTATCCCTATTTTCACTCCCACTTTGCCGCCCACTAATAGTATTATTTTTACCACATCTGTTGGTTAGTGAGAGACACAAGAGTTGATTACAAACACATCAAACATATCACAGGCAATAGTATTATACAAACCCATGGACTTGATGTATAGCAGGAAACGACCACTTTCGATCACAGGGATGGCGCCCAAAGCCGCCAAACCATCCAACACTCTATTTGTATTGATGGTCGCACTGCCGACAGTAAAAGCGGTTCCGCCGACCAGTTTGGCCAACGCTTTGAGTGCTTTGTAAAGTGAAAGGCCGTCCACTGAAATATTGTCGAGACCTATACTGTCGGCCAACAAGTCGTCAAACTGAGCCAATTTGCGTCTCAAACGGTCGGCACTTTGGTTACGCCTATCGGCCAACGCGAACAGGCGTTTATAAAAACTTTTGGACAGGAAATAGTTGCCCAAATGCGCGCCCGCCTGCGTAATGGTACCGACACCTGTAGTGGCGCCGCCACCTATGGCCACAACGGCGGCCACAACGCCGGTGAGCGGCCACAACTTTACTAGTAAAGTGACGGCACCGATGGCCGACAGACCGACGCCAACCAGTCGGGCGTAATTTGTGCGCCTATTGTGCCGATTGACGCGTGCGAGTAGTTTCCGGCACTCGGAAATGAGCTGTGCGTTGAGTCGCATAAACTCGTCCACACAATCGATGGTCTCTTCCAAGAGTACCACAAATCGGTGGCCCCTCTCATAACATACCATCGATTCCTTATCGCCATCCTTACTGACAAGTGGTATAGTGTCTGTGTATCGCATGTCTGCATGTGATGAACGCAGCGATTGAAATGTGTTATACAAAACTTAACGCAGAGTATAAATGAGGCATTTTATTAATGTTGGTTTGTTATCATTGTTTCAAATATCAATCAGTCATTACAATAATAATTGTAAATTGTTTATATCTTCAGCTATAAATATGATATAAATTATTTTAATGAACATTAGATATAATATATAGTAATATGATTTATATAACTTCCTCTGTGGCCATACTCTAACACCAGCTAATGATATCCTGTTATTGTTATCATGTTAATCTTTGTTGGGAACATTTTCAAAGGGTTTCTTTGGTCTCAAGTCTATGCATTCATTATTGCATAACATAAAGAACATAATTCACTCCTTTTGATTGTGTAAAGTATTTATTGGGTTTTTTTTTGTACAAATATTTACTATTAGTTTTTAAACGCAAGTTATTATTGTCAATACATGTTATAAATGTTTGCATTATTATTACAATAAATTTAAATATCAAATATTATATTGTTTTATCACTTTTGTAACAACATTTTAAGGCATATTTAAGGCACAATTTCATGCGAAAAGTAGACTAAATGAAAGTCTAATCAAAATATAGTAATTGCATAAAGTTTTGCATCAAAAGTACTGATAAGTTATCACTTATAAGCAATAACTACACAGAAATATATAAAATATATTTTTAAATAAAAAGTTTAAATTCAATGAACTTTCAGTCAAACTCATTGTCTTCGACCTCTTTTGGGGCACTTTTGGTGAGAATAGCTTTGATTATATCGTCGATGAGTTGATTGTCGACGACATCCGCTTTCAATGCCGTCGTAATCATCGTATGGATTGACTCAATCAACTGGTGATCGGTCTCCAGGTCTTTGATGAGGGCGTCGATGGCCTCCACAGTCGGGT